ACGAACGAGATGGCAATGAGCTGCCTTCGCCAGTTCAGTTGGCTGTTTCAAAAATTCCTTTTTTGCCCGGTTCTTTTGCATTTTATGCTCTAGGGTCTGCTCCGTAACTAGGAGATGTTTCGCTGAATTCTTACTGTCTCCAACTACATTTTCGCCGTGGAAATGACGGCTGTTTTGCATTCTTTGTAAACTTCATCGACGTTGCCACTTCTCTACTGGGCACCAATGACGGTGTTAAAATAACCCTCTCCTTCCTTTTGCTAGGCCGACCGCACCGTTTCGTCATATTTTAGCCTGTCTGTGTCGAGTGCAGTTGATTTATTTTAAACAGACGGTGCCGATGCGCCATGGCTAGCTTAATGCCAAGTCCCGCTGCAACCAAATGATGATCAGACCCAGTGTAGGCGCTGCGTCTGACGCTGGTCTTGAGTAACGAACTACACCACTTGCGGTTGACGAGGACATTGTCCAGCTTCAGTGTTTATTATAGTGTTTTCCATTGAGGGGCAGGTAGAGGTAGTTTCGTGAATACGCTGTGATGGAAAAGACTCCTACCAAAAATGACGCTCTTTGTAGCGCAAAAGTTTAACCGACGTCTGCCCGTATGCTGTACTCGGCGGGCGCCTTCGTTTTGAGTTCACTTGTGATGATTATGACGTCGTGACGTGACAGTACGCTAACAGCCGACTGCAAGCAGTCACAGTTGTCGCTGTCCCTGAACACATTTTTCGTTTGATAAACGGGTTACATTCAGCGTATCCTGTTTAACGTTCGCTCGACGGACCAGGATTCTCTTCGGTACTTGTTTCCCACAAATGATCTGCTGCCTTACTGTAAAGAACAAACGAATACCCACACACATGCGGTGTAATCTACTTTGACCGTACCACCATGATGACCACTCTTCTTGCAGTTCAGACATCCGACCCCTTCCCCTGGAGGTGAGCCGTGCGTGACCGCCAGTAGATGGGCTTTATGTCGACGGGCCGTATGGCAGACATCACTTAGCTTACCTTCGCCGAACAAGGAACGAATGTTTCAGCGTGCAACATGGAATTTACCGCTTGTAGTGTTGACTGCTGGAATCACGGAGTTATTGGTTCTTAGTTGACTGATATGTTGTGAGCAGGAGCAGATCGTTGCGCAGCTCCTTTCCGCGAGAGCAATAAATTCCCCGCTGCTCACTAAAAAATCAACCCCTCCTCTGGCATCCACAAAGCTGGTTTTGTGAAGAAAGTATAGTATGAGTCGTGGAAGTATGGGATGTAGATATTTGAAGCATAACAAATTTCCCTTCCGTTTACGAAATCAACAAGAGCTGCATGATTGCAGTATGCAATTGAACTAGATTCACCACTGTGAACGGATCATATAGCCGTCGAAGAAGTTGCATTTGATTTCAAAAGGACTCTTGGTATCCGACTTCATTGAGCGTTAATTGTACTATCTCTGAGCGTAGGCGGGCATTTTGTGACAGACGAGGTCGTTCAGGG